GGGGCGGGGGGGAGGCCGGGTTTGCTGCTGCTGCTGCTGCCACTGGTGAGTGTTGTGGGGGCTGGGCTCCTGATGCAGGCATGAGGCCCCTCCCATTAAGTCTCTGACTGCCCAGGGACTCTGGCCCCTCCTCCCACCCATGGCCAGGACATAGTTAAGAGCGAGTTAGATAGACATCTGTCAGGGATGGTCTAGATTGTACTGGGTCCTGCTGTGAGAGTAGGGGACTGTACTCGATGACCTCTCGAAGTCCCTTCCAGTTCTAGTGTTCTATGATTCAAGCCCTGGGCCCTCTCCAACTAGGGATGTAAAATCCTGGTCAACCACTTAAATTGGGGCAGACTGGACAGGTTGGAGAGGGTCCCACAGCATGGTGTGCTAGCTGGGCTGAAGCAGTTCCCTCACCAGTGGCACCAGTTAACTCTAACCAATAAGCATCACCTTAGCTGTTAACCATTCACATCCCTATTTCCTGCACACCAACCTCCTATTCCAGCCTAGTTGAGAGTGGGGGAGACTGAGCAATGGAAAGAGCGTGGCTGGAGGGAGTGGAGGCAGGGGGTCCAGAACAGCAGGGCCTTGAGGAAGGGAGTGGGGCAAGAGAGAACTTCCTTTTGTACAGTTACAAAGTTGGCAATTAATAAATGAAGGATAAGAACTTCTGCTACGGGGCCCAGAATCACCTCACTCAGTAGATTTGGGGAAAGGGCAACAATAATTCTGCCTCATTCTTACCTGTACTGAGGATGGATAAGGAGAATTTAAAAAACAAAAGGCAGATCCAAAACACTCCAAGGTAATACAGATTAGGGATGTAAACGACTATTCAAATAGTCAACTACCTGATAAGTCTAGTCGACTACTTGCATTCTTCCCTCCTTGCTGCCTCTGTATCAGCTGCAGCGGTTGGAGGGACAAGGAGCTGGAGTTGGGGGGAGCTGCCTTAAAAGCTGGTTCCCCCCAGCACCATCTCCACAGTGTTGCCTGCTGTGAAGCAGCCTCTTCCTGTGGCGGGCCCCAGCTTGCCACAAGCAGAGGTTGCTCCACATCCCACGGAGCAGCCCCTATCTACAGGGGATCCCAGCAAAGACCCCCGTGAGTAGGAGCTGCTGCCAAAGCAGCCTCTCTTCGCCATCAGCCCCAGCCACCACTGGGAGGGGCTGCTGCTGGAGTAGCCTGTGGGTATGGCTGACGCAGGTCTAGGACTGCTGCAGCTCTGCATTTTAAATGTAGTAAGAGCTGCCCAGCTATTACTACATTTAAAATGCATAGCTACAGTGGGAGTAGCTCCCGGACTCAGTGTGAGGCGGGACAGTGTGCCTTCCCTTATTGACTAATTGGGACAAATTGCCAGTTACCCACCTCTTAACAGACTTAATACAGATATTTAAAACAAAACCACAGACTTTTTGGTGTCCAACTCATGATTTAGGTCTCATGAGGCTGGGATGAGGACACCCTGTGCAGTAACTGACCTTCAAGATGGTTGTCCCTGTGGGTGCTCCACTCTAGGTGACTATGGAGTAGTACCTTTCTATGGAAGGAGGGACTTCAGAAGTTGTGCATAATGTTAGAGAGTATGGCCTGGTTGAATTCCTGGTTAAATTTCTATGGTATAGTGCTTAGTGAATATGTGTGCGGAAGCTCGCATGACTACCCTATACATGTGAGAAATGGGCATATTTTATAAAAATGCCATAGAGGTGGCTACTTTTTTAATGGACTGTGTGCATGTGGAGGGAGAAGGAGGAATATTGTTCTGAGTACAGGCAGTCCCCGGGTTACGTACAAGATAGGGACTGTAGGTTTGTTCTTAAGTTGAATTTGTATGTAAGTCGGAACTGGTACATATTGTAGGGGAAACTCTAGCCAAACATTTCTCCAGAGCTCAGTTTTATTCTCCCACACCTCACTTCCCTCAGTCCTTTATTCTCAAGCTAAGGTGTCTGCTGAGAAAAGCCGCTCTGCGTCTCCTTGGTCTGCTGCGGGGGGGCGCTAGCTTTGCGTCTCCCTGGTCTGCTGGGGGGAAGCAGCTAGTGCGGGCTTGCCTCACCTCGTTTGTAAGTAGGGATCCGATGTAAGTCGGATCCATGTAACCCAGGGACTGCCTGTATAGCAGAGATGGATGCAGTGATATTCACATAGAGAGTCTCTGATTGGTGATGGCTTGTCCTTTAGCATGCTCCACGATGGAAAGAAACTTTGAAGATGATTTTCTGAATAGTTTTGTCTTTTCTAGGTAAAATGCGAGTGCTCTGTGCACATCCAGAGTGTGACGATGATAAAAGTTGGTATCTGTGTGGTGTTTTGGATAGAATACAGGTAAGTAGATGGGTTAATTAAGAAGAAATGATAAGACTTTGGAGAGGAATTTAGGATGTGGTCTGAGGATGACTTTATTCTTTAGGAAGATATTTTTATGAAGGGGTCAGCCATTAGAGTGGTGACATAGAGTGTGTAACTGACCAGTTGTGGAATCAGTGCCATTTTGGGGAATATATCTGCCTTGTACTGGGTCTACAACTATCACTGAGGTGTGTAGGGGTCACTGGACCCTGCACCCCCTTCTGCAGTCAGATGTGATTCTCAGCCAGCAGGTAAAACACGATCCGCATCTGCAAAAATGAGCTGTCTAAATCGGCATCTGCAAATACCTCTGGGTATCTGCGGATTTTTGGACTCTAATTATGCCAAAGATATCAATCTTTTCCAGTCAGTTGACTAGTCAATTCTTTCTCTTCCCCTCTCCCCAAAGTTGGGAAAAGAGGCAGCAAAGGTGGGAAAAGAGGGGGTACTTTAAAGGGGCAGTGCTACACAGCTGATTCCTGGCTCAGCTGTGTGGCACCGTCCCTTTGAAATACTGCCTTGCCGTTTCAAAGCGGCGGTGCCACACAACTGAGCCCGGGATCAACTGTGTGGCGCTGTTGCACATGGAGCCTGGGGTCAGTTAGGGACTCTCCGGCTGATCCCAGGCTCCAGTGCAGCATTTCCGCTGAACCCGAGATCAGCTGGGGAGTCCCCAGCTGACCCCAGGTTCTGGGGAAGTGACACGCAGAACCACGGTCATCTAGGGAGTTCCCAACTGACCACGCTCCGCATGGCATTTCAAAGTGGCAGTGCAGCATGGAGCTTGTGGTCATGTTGCCACTTTGAAATGTTATACGGAGGCCCTGCTAGGGACTCTTGTACATTTCAAAGTTGACATGCCGTGTGCAGCCAGGAGTTAGCAGGATTTCCCGCTGGCCCCGGCTGCATTTGGGCTCTTGTACATCTCAAAGGAGGAATGCAGAAGTGCCTATTGACTCGTTGAATAGTCGATGGAAATTCCATCGACTACTCGACTAGTAAAATAACCGATAGTTAATATCCCTACTACGGTGTCCACTAGTAGGAGCAGGATTGGAGCGTAAGAACATAAGAATGGCCACACTGGGTCAGACCAAAGGTTCATCTAACCCAGTATTCTGGCATTGGCCACTGTTGAAGACAGGTGCCCCAGAGGGAACGAACAGGATCATCAAGGAATCCCTCCCCTGTCACCCATTCCCAGCCTCTGACAGACAGAGGCTAGGAGCACCATTCCTACCCATCCTAGGTAATACCCACTGATGGACCCATCGTCCATGAATTTATTTAGTTCTTTTTGAACCCTGTTAAAGTTCTGGCCTTCACAATGTCCTCTGGCATGTTGTTCCACAGGTTGACTGTGTGTTGCTTGAAAAAATACTTCCTTTTGTTTGTTTTAAACCTTCTACTCATTAATTTTGTTTGGTGACCACTAGTTCTTATGAGAACAAGTAAATAACTTTTCCTATTACAGGCAACCCCCAACATGCGACACGATTGGTTCCCAGGTAAGCGTCACAAGTCAGGAGCATCGTAATTCAAACCCTCATTGACAATAGGCACTGTGTGCCATCATAAATACAGGCCGGGGACGTAAGTCGGGGGTTTTCGGTCCCTTCCGCACTTTAAAAAGTTGTAAGTGTGGGGGGTCGCAACTCGGGTGGTCACAACTTGGGGGTTTCCTGTAACTTTCCCATCACCAGTCATGATTTTATAGAGCTCTGTCATAACATCCCTTAGTCTCCTCTTTTCTAAGCTGAAAAGTCCCAGTCTTTTAAATTTCTATGTGCCTGTTTAATTGGTTAAACCAGGGCTACTCAACACACGGCCTGTTTGTTTCTGGCCCATAGTGCAGTTTGGGTTTATGCAGGTTCAACATGCAGCCCACGGATGGGATCCTTTGAACATGGTCTCCACTGGGAACACGCTCCACGGTCTTCTGTAATATGCGTTTTAGTAGTTAAATTCCTGGACTGTCATTACTTGTTAAAAGTGCTGTCATATGGGTAGAAATTGAATAAATATTGCGCTTTATTAATATCAGCAGAACTGACTTCAATGGGCCCTGCATGTTGTGTAGTTTTGCCTTAATCTTTGTATTCGTACCCATCAGCGTGAAATAAGCTATTTGCATATAATTTGCATGTACATGCAATCGCACTTAAGTTGCGGTCCTTGGCATGTGCTGTGTCATGGTGGACCCCGGGGCTTCCAAAGTTGAGTAGCCCTGTGTTAACCCGTCAATCTGTTGACCTCTGAAATGTTAAAATTTAACTGGGATTTTACAATCCTAACCTCAGTTTACCTCTTTGTCCAGCCTCGGGCAATCGACTGATCCGTGTCTATTGTTATGGGCACACATTCTCAGCCTACCTATAGACATCTGATCTGGGGAAGTTATTACTGTGCTTTGTTTACAATAAATCACTCAGATGCTTTCATATCTTATCTGATTCTTAGTCCCTGGGGGCTGTCCCAGAGTCTTCTGTGTTGGCTACTTGCACAAAGCCAGTACAACATACAGAAGGAGCATGCGAACATGCACGCAGCCAAATGGTTATCCCTGACAGAGAAAGAGACCTGTCAGGACACCAAACTGGTGACTCCTGAACTACCACACTTGTCAGTTACCTTTAAAAAAAATCTTGGGTCACAATCATTAATGATTTACAGAGGCATATGTCTGGTAGCCTTCCTCCATGGGGATTGAGTTTCTCAAAGGTTCCCATCCCTGCTTTTTTCATTTTCTGGTATCTTCTGTTCCCTCATGAGGTGCCTGATGTTGGGGTTTGGTGGACAGGTTCCTTCATACTGCCTTTTTCTGTAATATACAGTAGACGTGGCTATGTATATTCTGTTGCTGAGTTTCCTTCTTTAAGTTGCTTCCTTCCTTTCCCAACTCTTACCAGAGGTTTGAGCTGTTATTGATGAGTTAGTATTAAAGAAGACAGGATTTTCAGACTCTGCGTGTCCAAGGTGAAGCTACTACAAAGATTGTAGAAGTAGCCACACCTCTTGAAATCAAATTCTGGCCCTTATATAATGCAGACTTTGCACCACTGACCTTTGCACAGGTGGATAGGATCTGGTACAAATAATCTAATAATTAAGTAGAAGAGCAGTCACTTCAATTTCTCCTCTGAAATGGCTTGCTCTGCAAGGATTTTGGGGACAGTCTGGTGCTTTTTTATCAGCATCTCTGTAAATTCTGTGCCACGATGGCGAGGACTGGTCTATGGACTCCCACCTCCTTGTGAGAGGTAACTAATTCCTGGGTGCCTGAGGGATTGGTGGGTCTCCTGGTAAATGATCGTGGGACAGGGACATAGTCTAATTATTTTAAAGTGCTCTGGGCTGTGCTGTAAAAACAAGAGCTGTTTAGAAATGCAATGCTGGTAGAAGATTGGGGACCAATAATAATATGCTGAGAGTAGTACTTAAGATACATGTGTGCACATTTAAGTGCTACTCTCAGCTACTCCTCTCCCCTTCCCGCCACTCTTATGGATCCTAACCCCTGATATGCTCATTTTATCTCTCCCCCGCTTTCCTCTGCCTTTCTTGTGAACATTAGCTTTGTAGGACTATATAGTTATTTTGATACAATGCACTGTATTATGGGGCCCTAATCTCAGCTGAGGCTCAGGCACTATAATAATGCAAAATAACAACTGTGAATGGTGCTAGATTGACAGATGGAAAATGGTCAGTCACTAGAGTCATGTAGTGTTGATTACATTCAAGGGTTATATAGGCTAAGTTCTGAAGAGAGTAGGGGAAGGATGGTGCAATGTATAAAGCACTAGTCTGGACCATCAGAGAGCTGAGCTCTGTTTCCCCAGACTCCTTTTGTAACCATGGACAAATTTCTATGCCTCAATTTCCTAGCTTTTTGATGGCTTTACCTCGCTAGTGTGATAAATGCATGACAGTGAGGTGCACAGATATTACAGTGGTGGCAATAATATAAGGTAGGGAGTCATTGAACAGTTTTTTTACTGAAACTACACTTTTGAGTAGGGTGGATTGATTTAAATTGAGGCAATTTTGAATCACCAAAAAAAATTGCTTTACATCAAATTTCCCATTGATACTACTTCATATTTCTTCAAACAATGGTGCAAATCTAATCACTAAAACATGTTAATTTAAAGCTCAGTACAGCATTTTACAACATCTAAGAGGGTATACTTCATGTAAGTTTTTTGGTAACTGGACTTTTATTAATTTAAGCAAGAGTACATAATACTCATTACCAGAGTCAAGCTGCAGATGCAACAGTACATTAGGAATGATAACTAAATCTTTCTATCTCACGCTCACAAACGTACACACACTCTCTATAGTACTTTGATTAAACCAAATCTTAAATGTTAGTCTCCTGAGTTGCTGGCTGTACTTAAACTCTTTTTTTTTTAATGTTCAAGCTTCATTAACTCTAACAGATAAGTCCTCACAACATTAAATGTTCAGTGTCCTTAAAACTTCTAAAACTAGCTCTTTTATGTTTCATTCTTGCAAGTCTGTTCCTTTCTATGTTGCCTCCACTGTGCTTAGAGTATGCTTAATTTTGGAGTAAGCCCCATTGAAAACAAGTACATGATGGCAGTACTTTGGGAAAGCTGAGTTATGCTGAAATAAAATAAGGAATAGACTTGTGGCATCACTTTTATGGTCTGTGACTATGATGTTTCAAAATAAGAGGCATATATATAAAATAGGAAAATGATTGTCACTCTGTCTTTAGACAGTGTCTTAACTAGGGATGTAAGCGAGTAGTCCCTTGACTAGTTGCTTGCTCCTCCTTGCAGCCTTTATAAGAGGCAGCAAGGGAGGACCTGGTGCTAGTGACATCGGACCATCAGTCGGAACCACAGCACCGTTCCTAGTACCGAGTGCTTGCAAGAAGGCGCTGAAAGGGAGATCGCTTTCGAAGCAGGCCAAGGGAGCATCTGCGAGGGGGACATTCCAAGATTTTATCACCACCCAGACACAGAGACGCTCCCGTGCACCACAGGCACAGGTTGAGCCCTGCACGGGTGAGTAGTCCCGAGTTTCAGGACCTGTCTGTGGAAGAGGTCTCTTGGCCATCAACCCCGGACACCTTTGTTGCGGCCCAGGAGCTGATGAAACTTACCTCCTCCCCGGGACTGGCACTGTGCAGTGCGGAACCATATGAAGGTCATGAGCGGCAGGGACTTAGAACGGGGCCGACATCACACATGGTTCCACCTTCCTTACTACTGATGAGGGACTCTGGTTCGGTACCACCTGTAGTAGTGGCACCGCTGGTACAGGAGCTGGCTTGTGCATGGAGCAGAACCATCCCAGCACCAGTGGCTTCAGCTCCGTCAGCACCAGAGCATGCGGTCATGCCCCCACCAGCACCACTACTGCTGCATCAAGGGAAACTGGTGGCCGTGGTGCACCACACCTGGCATCAGTGGCACCGCCATGGTCCGCATCTGAATGCTCCTCGGAATTGGATCCAGAGTAGTTTACTTCAAGGGCCTTATCACAGCGATCACTGAGGTCAGGTCAGTCGAGGTCTCCACACCGGTCCCAGTCTCAGCATCAATCCCGGCACCAATCCCACTTGAGGTGTCACTCACGGAAGGCCAGCCTACCATTTCAGATGTGGCCTCCACAATGGCAGCCACCAGCCCAGTGGCCCTTTTGGACCTCCGGGTATATCATCAAGCACATGGTCAGGAGTTTTCAAAGTCAGGATCAGCCTCAGCTTCAGTGTACTCAGAGCACAGGGCAACCCCTTCAGCCGCCCTGCTCACATGGGCCCCAACATCAGTGTTCAGGCCCAGTCCCTCAGAATCAGCAGGGGACAACAACCACCCAGCTCAACAGCCAGCCATGGTGAACCCTACCCAGCCACAGCCACCCCTCAATCGCAGCCCCCGATGAAGCTCTGGCTGACCTGTCCCCGGCTATGCTAACCGTGGACATGTGCACCCATCAAAACCTCCTCAGGAGGTTGGCCCAGAACTTAGTGGTGCAAGTCGAGGAAGTTGCAGAGGAATCTGATCCCATGGTGGACATCCTGACGGTGGATGCTCCTGCTAGGATTGCCCTCCCACTTAATAAGACGGCAGCCAGAATTACTAAAAACCTTTGGCAGACTCCGGTGTACATTCTTCCGATGCAGAAAGAAGTGGAGAGGAGGTATTTCGTGCCACAGTCTGGCCATGAACATCTATTTTCCCATCCACCTCCACGCTCGGTGTTGATCCAGGCTGCTTGCCAAAGAGAGAGGCATTGGCAGTCTGGGCCCACTCCTAAGAGCAAGGAGCCCAAAAAGCTCGACCTCTTTGGACGAAAGATATATGCAACAGTGGGGCTGCAGCTGAGGATTGCAAACCAGGAAGCAATACTCAGCAGATATGCCTGTAACTCTTGGGTGGCTGTAGATAAGTTCAAGTCCCAGCTCCCAAGGGAGTTGCAGGAGTTTGGGGCTTTGATGGAGGAGGGCAAGGTGGTATCCTGCACCGCCCTTCAGACTGCGCTGGATGCGGCCAACTCTGCGGCACTCTCAATGGCCACAGGCACTGTCATGCGGAGGAACTCATAGCTTCAGGTCTCGGCCTCATCTGAAGTCCAGACTACGCTGCAGGACCTGACCTTCAAAGACTTGGGGCTCTTCTCAGAGCAGACTGACAGTAAATTGAACAGTCTGAAGGACTCGAGGGTGACATTGAAATCCTTGCATCCACACCCCTGCTCCCCAGTGCTGCCTGTTGAATCTCAGGTTATAGACACTGTATCAGCAGGGTCCCAGACAAGATAATAGATGGAGAAATAGGGGAAATAAAGGCAGGGGCACTAGGAGGCGCTCTTGTTCGGCCTCTGAGCAGACTCAAGGGCTCTCCAACAGGACTCCGGGCCCAAGGTTAGGATTTTGAAGATCCGCCCTCAGGCGGATTACCAGCCCCAGTGCTAGATTGCCCCTTCACAAACAAATTGTCCCCTTTCCATTGTTCTTGGTGCTATATCACCTCAGACCGGTGGGTCCACAAGATGGTGACAAGGGGATACTTTATCCCCTTCCTGCCCTACGCCCCTTTCCCTCTTCACGGACCCCTCTCACGAGCACCTTCGTCAAGAGGTCTCTTCGCTCCTGTCATTGGGGGCGATAGAGAGGTTCACCTCGCATTTTGAGGGAAGGGTTTTTATTCCTGATATTTCCTCATTCCAAGCCCAAAGGGGTCCTTTGCACCATCCTAGACCTCAGGGGGCTCAATGCCTTCATAAGAAAGTCAAGGTTCAGGATTGTGACGCTGCCCTCCATCATGCCCTTATTTGATCTAGGGCACTGGTACGCCACCCTTGATTTGGAGGACATATCCTTCCACATTTCAGTTGTCCCTCACCACGGGAAGTTCCAACATTTCTTGGTGGGTGGGGACCACTGCCAGTTTGCGGTGCTGCCTTTTGGCCTTTCCACCGCCCCCAGAGTATTCACCAAATGTATGGCAGTGGTAGCCGCCTTTCTGAGAAAGAGAGGGCTTCATGTTTTCCCCTACCTGGACTACTGGTTCATCAGAGGTCACTCCAGGGACAAGCTGCTAGCCAGGGAAGCCTTTTCCCAGTTGGGGCTCTTGTTGAACAAGGCAAAATCGACCCTCGTCCCTACTCAAATAAAAGAATTTGTGGGAGTGAAGTTAGACACTTCTACAGAGCTAGTGTCTCTACCAAGCTCCAAGTTTGCGGCCATAAAGGACATTATTGACGTCTCCAGCCACATTGTCTAAGGCAATTGGGCCACATGGTAGCGTGCACTTACGTGGTGCAATACACCAGACTGCACCTCTGACCCTTGCAGGTCTGGTTGGCAAGGGACTACAGGCTGGCTCACGACCACATCGATACCATGGTAACCATCCCACCAGAGATCCTGTCCACGCTGGACTGGTGGCTGTGGGAGAGTGAGGTGTGCTCCAGGGCCCCCTTTGCCCAGTCCCCTCCCTCAATGAAGTTGGTGGCGGGTACCTCCGGTACTGGGTGAGGAGCCTGTGACGTAGTGGGGGTACCTGGCTGGTTTCTATGCTGCTGGCTCTGGGGAAACCCCCACTGGCTGCCGTGGGTACCATGACCCAGCAAAACAGGATGAGTCACTATGCAACCAGTGGGCAGACACCCCCCATGGAGAGGAACAAAGGAAGGTGGAATGCTGCCCTGGCTGGGGGACAGGGCTGGAAGAGAGTTAGTGAGTTGCTGGCTGTGTGGGAGCATGGAGGAGTCAGCCTAG